ATCTATCTATCTATCTATCTATCTATCTATCTATCTATCTATCTATCTATCTATCTATCTATCTATCTACACACACATTTAGATATGTTTATAAATTATATTATATATTTTCCATATTACATTTATATTCTTATATGTAATGATTCCATAAAATAAAAAAGAGCTTATATATGCGTGTTTATGCTTTGTAATAATATGGCACTGCTATTGATAACTGATTTTTCTGGCTATTTTTTCTTATTTGTCTCTTTCTGCCAAGTTGCCACAGGTTTTACTGTTATTTATATTATTGCTGCAGATTTTCAAGAGAAAAGCCAGGACATTAATAGTGTATTAATTGATACTACATTAAGTATCGTGAACACAGGAAAATTCAAAAAACTATTCACTGATGTTAAAAATAATTTATAGAAAATACCTGAATCATCTTTGTATTGCTGTTATAAAGATAGGTCGTCAAGGTATATTGAGAAAAAACTGAATTGTCTTTATGAATTTATAGAGGAAGCAAGATCCTGGAGCCACTAACATTTATGTGACTAATCTCTTAAGGACTGTATTATGTTTTAGTTACATTAACTGTAACCTTACTGATCAATAATCAAATATGTATGACCAGTTTTACTTTAATGTTTCTCCTTCCACTTCCTATTTTCCCCATAACAACTCATAAATTGGGTTGGGCTGAGAGAGTCACTGGCTCAGTCACACAACCAGCTTTCGTGTGTAAGGCAAAACTAGAACACATGGTTTCCTGATTTCTAGCCTGGTGCCTAAATCACTAGCCCAAACTGGCTCTCATGTTTTTTGTCAAAGTATGCTCATTCAAATGTCTGATGTGTTTCCACCCACTTTGCAGCATCCAATTCCCACCAGCTTTGTAACTAGTCTCTAGCAAGTTTTGCCTGGTACTATTACGTCACTCCTGACTCAGGTTCTTTTGCCAAAACAGCCATTTCCTCTTTGAACAATAAACACCTGACATAATACATTGCGTGGTAAAATGATTTTACATCAATAATCTTTATAATTGAGTGAAGCAGCTTATTAGTATTTAAATAATAATAAACAATATATGCTTATAAGTCATTGGGAAGGACTTAAAAGATGAATAAAAATGCCAAATCCAGTCTAAACATCTGGGTGACAAACCATAATAACATACCTTTAATGGCATCAAACAGACAGACAGACAGATTTGCCTCTCCCAAATTCTTCAATAGGATTCAATAAAAGGGATAAAAATGCCAAATCCAGCCTCAACATCTGGCTGACTGTGCAACCAATCATAGTGATGATTATATGAAAGCCCTACTAAAAAATTGGCAGCTAGGATCCAGCCTCAACATCTGGCTGATTGTGCAACCAACTATAATAATGATTATATGAAAGCCCAGCTAAAAATTGGCAGCTATGATTTCATGTTGTTGTGTATATATAATAATAGGCTCGTAATACACCAAATATAACTGTTGATGAAAAGAGGAACATTTGGATAATTGATGGGGCAATACCAGGGGATAGCAGAAGACAATGAACTGGAGAACATCACAAAGTACCAAGATGTGAAAATTGAAATACTATGGCATAACCTGGCCCTTGTGGTCCCAGTAGTTATTGATAGACTGGATGCCATATCAAAAACTCTTTGGCAGAACTTGGTAAATTTGTGCACTAACAAAATTTCCATCTATCAATTACAATAAGCCATGCTGCTTGGAACTGCACATATAGAATGCCAATACATTACAACATTCTAGGTTCTTGGGAAGAACTCAATGCATATGAAGATCAAAACCAGTGGAAGAACTGGCAGCTTCCAGTGGATATTTTATTATGGTTGGTTGCACAGTCAGCCAGGTATTTACACTGTATTTGGCATTTTTAGCCACCTATCAAGTACTTCACAAGGGCCTGGGATATGCAAATGTTGATGTCTGATAATGTTAAAGGTATGATAAGAGGATTCAAGATGTTCCAAGTAAAGCTGCCCTTTCAAATTGACCAATGGTTATTTTGTCAATGTTGAATGTGTTCAAGTGGTGGTCTGGTTGTTTTGGGATTTCATTACTATTACTATTGGCATTTCACTTTCTTTTGTCACAGTCATTTTATTTCAATTTGCAGGTTTCAGTATTTTGTGATTTTCTCCAATTCTTTCTGTTCTATTCTGCTATCTTCAGGTTCTGCCATGTATACTAACCAAACTATTATTATTATGATAAATAGCATCTCAACTTGTCACATTGTTATTTTTATGATTCTCCTTGTAATATTCCCCTAAATTGCTATGTAGCACACATATTTCAGCCTTTTTCCATGTATGTATGGAAAATAGAAATATAAAATACCCACAAATACTGCTATGGGTCCTCATATATATGGTTAATGATTTAAACACATCAAACAAAGCTAAAAGTTCAAAATACACACACACACACACACACACACACACTCCCTCTCCCTCCCACTCTCTCTCATTAAATGTACAGTAGTGCTATCTTTTTACTCTTGTGTTTAATACAAAATAGATGTTTCTATCAAACCGATATAAAAAAGATATGCATTCCCAACATATACATACAGAACGTATTTAGAATTATTAGAGATTTCTGAATAGTGAAGAACTCCATACGAGTACTGGTATTAAGTCTATTTCACAAATAGTAATATGCATTGCATTGATCTGTGTCAGGACTATATCAGACTATATATTCTCTTCCTGCCAGGCTTATCCCACTAAAAATCTATTTCATCTTAAGAATGCTGCAAGAATGAGCATCTACATGCAGACAGATGAAAAACGGGGACCGCAGTCGAATATTGTTGGAGAGCATGAATTTAGTGAAGTCTGGTGGAGCCTAAGATTTCATTCCTGTCCTAATTCCCCTCCATCAGCTGACACCCTGCCTGTATGCAGCTATCTGGCACTCATAGATCTCTGCAGCCGGAAGTTTTATGGAAACCGCCAGGACTAATAATCACGTATATTTATCTGCAACACAGCCACCTAGAGCTGCCATTCTAGACCTAACAGCCTGAAAGTTGAGTCCAGTGAAAAGCACAGGCCTCTCTCTCACTGTGCTTTTCAAGGCTGCCCTGCAGCGGTTGCCTAGTCAAGCCCTGTGTCTGATCGGGCAGAGGTAGAGAAAAGGAGACAATAGGAGCTCTCCACAGGCCCTCTTTCAAACCTCAGCAGCGCAGCCATTGCACCGGGGCAGGCTGCGTTGTCATGGAAACACAGCGAGGTTCCCCCCCCAACATTGCCGGCGTGCGTCATCGTCAGGGTGGGGGCGACGTCCCTCCCCTCCACCAACGACCTGATCTGGATGGGGGGATCCGGTCCCCAAGTAGCTCCCCTCCTCCCCGTGCCCTCCCCCGAAATCAACCCCCAACAAGGCTACCTTTGATGCCGGCCATGGTGCTGCTACAGTATTACTTCGCCCAGGCCGCTCCCAACCAACACCAAGGGGAAGGAACGCGGCTAGACAAGCCCCGGAAGTGCGCGCTCGAGACCCGGCCAATACTTCCGACGAATCGCGACCTCCGAAACGGCGGACGTAACTTCGGAACATAAGGCAAAGCTTCGTGTTTGTATCCTGTTTTCCTTCCTCAGGGAAGACCTCTTTTCCGAAACAGAAGAAAATCCTGGGACAGTAATGGACCGGTCTAGTTGCTGCTGCCTCCACTCGGCAACAAAAGTCGCGAGTGATAACAACAACAAGAACCTATTTATCTATGGAGAGTCTCAGCCATCTAGGTCATGGTTGTCCCAAAGATGCTTTTTCCACAAGGCAACTGGGCTTTCTGGTTTTTTCTTTGAAGACGTTTCGTTTCTCATCCAAAAAGGTCCTTCAGCTCAAAGCAGGATGCAAATTACCAACTGTTTGCAAGGAATATAAATCGGCCCATTCCCCACTATCCTGTCAAAGCTGAAGAAGCTTCTTGGATGAGAAGTGAAACGTCTTCAAAGAAAAAACTAGAAAGTCCAGTTGTTTCTTGAAAAAGCACCTTTGGAACAAGAACCTATTTACCATAATTAAAACAAAACGTGGGGAGAAAATAAAATAAAAAAGACCCATTGATTATGTGCCATCAAGTCGTTTTCAACTCATGACCACATAAATTTGGTTCACGACATCTGTCTCTTAACTTGTTCTTTCAAGGCTTCCAATGGATCACTCATCGACACTGTAGAGTCCATCCACTGCTGGTTGTCTTCTCTTTCCATCTTTGATAACATTAAAGACTTTTGATTTCAATTATAAATTTTTAAATTTATAATTGAATCTTTAAATATTTACTGAATCTTGACAGTAGAGACATATTGTTCCATTTTCGTCTGGCTTTTTTCAACTCCTGTCTTTTAAAAATCTTTTAGGACCTGAGGTTGTTGGACAAAATATCCCAAAATAGTTGTGGAAAGTTTATTTACTTATTGGACTGTAAAAGTGATTTCATCAGTGATTTGCTATATGTTTATGCACTTGTAAAGTTGCAGTCATTTATAAATGGCTTGAATGGTTAAAGGTTTTTTCCTACTTTTTTACTGCAAAACAATGAATTAGCACAATTAAGATAACAGCCAGATATTGTTAAATAGAAGTTATGGTAGCTTACTTTGTTTGCAGACACAAGATGACACCAGAATTACTTTTATAATTACTTCTGTTAATCTTCCAAACCTAATTTTTTTTGTCTGTTCTGAAAGCCTGATTAATTGTACAAGCACACATATCTATTTTATCTAGAAACTTCCAGATTCAGCAATTATTTAGAATACTGCTTATACTTCTTTACTGATTCTAATTGGTCTACAAAGCATAAAATTTGGGGAGTTATCTATACAGATTCAGTATATACAAATAATTTTCATATTTTAATAAATTAAGTGGTGTATATTCAGAAATAACTGCTAAGAAAATATTAAGATTTGTTTTGAGAAATTGTTATCAATGTTATGTAAATATACTATTTGAAATAGTAAAATATTGAAAATCATTGTGACTAAAGGAGAGTAACTTTGAAAAAAAGTAATATAAGAACTCTATAGTCCATCTACTACCATTCTGTGTCACACAAAACATGGTCCGATGCATTCAGGAAGCTCACAAGTAATAATTGTCTTACATGGATACCCCAAACTGAACATTTTAATAACCAATTGTCATGGGTATGTAGTGTATTTGGAGCAGTCCCTAAGTCTCTGTTAGTTCAGCCCACCTCACAGGTGGCTATTTTGCGAAACATAAAAGGCAGGAACATTAGGTATGTATGCTGCACCTTAAGTTGATTAAACTAAAGGTAGGGCAAAGATTAAATATTACTGTCTTTCATTAGTATGTTTGGTCCCCCTTGAAAATCATCCAAATTGATGATGTTCACCACAATGGCAACAAATCCCATCATTTAATTCTATTATATAAAGATAATTTGTCAACCTAAATTTCTCTTCATTTAGTTTCTAAGGATAATCCCAAATTCTTACTTTGTAATAGAGATCAGGATATAAATGGTAGAACTCATAATTTAGAGTAAAATAAACAGTAAAGATATAGTTATTTATTTTAAAAGTTTCAAACCCAACTTTGTAACATCTACTGCGAAGCCTTAAAACTATGCATTTATTGTAAAATGTTAAGCAAAACAAAAATACATACCATGGGACTAAATTGGAAGGCTATATATATCATATCTATTTTTAAAAGAAACAGTTCCCTCTTATGTGAACTGAATTTTCTGCTTGTAATAACTATTACATTTCAAGTCATATTGGCAGAGTTTGCATGACACACAAATTAAAAAGCTTGGATAATTGTCATTTTATTCCAAATAGTTTCCATTTCAGCTTCAGAGGATACGTGAAGCAGCAAACCTGATTAAAATGCTATTTGCAAACTTATCCATCCTTTTTTAGGCAAGCACAGTTCTTACGATCGAAAGTTTCAAATATTTTACTAGGCCTATGAGGTCTGGGATAGAAACATTGAGAAAACTAGTTGTCAGCAAACAAATTCAGAAAATCTTAACTTGTTGCTTTCATCTAATGATTATCCCAGTTTTCAGTCAGTCTGGCCTAGTGGTTAAGGCACTAGGCTAAAAATCAGGTGACTGAGTTCTAGTCCACATTGTTACTCATGAAATTTGCCTTTGGACTAGTCAAGTTTTTCAACTCATGACATCAGGCCTGGGTGATAAGTGGACCTGCATTTGTGAGAAAAAGCTAAGAAGTCCAAAAAGTTCAATTATGCTTACACTAGTTGTAAGTTAATACCATGTTTCTTTTGACCCCAAAATAAGTGCTTGGCTTTATTTTCAGGGCGGTCTTATTAAAAGGTCTTATCAAAAATGGTGCAGGCGGCGGCGAGTGTGGTCACCTCATGGCTGCTGCTGTGTTGCAATATTTTGTGGGGAGGGCTTATTTTAACGCATGCACTCAAAAGCCGGATTGGACTTTTTATCTAGGGAGTCTTATGTTCAGGGAAACAGGGTATGCATAGCTCAGATTAAAAACAGCAATAATCTCATCCCATTTAGTCCTAGATTTAATTTTAAGGGCAACAATAAGGTTCGCTAATGGCTTTTAATTATAATTAGCTGTTAACACTGTACTTTGGTTTTGTCTTTTGCACTTTTTTGTATCCTAATCAGACAATGTTGGAATTGGAGTGCATTATAAAGATTTCAATATAAATAAGAAATATGATTTAAAATGCAATGTTCTTTTATTCAGAAGTAATGTTACTCGATAGGGAGCATTTCAAAGTATATAGCTTTTGTTCTGTTAAAAGAAATGTCCTTCTGGGTTCAGCTCCAAGTGGACAACCCTCCACTGGAGACATGGAGGCTGCTTGGAAAGATGGTTTATTGTTGGACAGGGCCACATGGCTTGAGCCCTGAACAGAAAAGGTGATCACATACTTCAATGTTGATGGAGAAGAAGAGAAGGGCTGAGGGAG